GTTGAGCCAAAGAAACCCTAAAGCAAAACATGACCTTGTGTCAATCTGCAGGCTTTTATACACACACACACACACACACACACACACAGGTTCAGGGTTGTACAGTATCAGAGTAATACCAGCTATCAGATTGCTGCTGAGAATGGCATTCCTGTGGATACACACAGCTAAACAAAGCGAAAGGCCTAAGTTACAGCACAACCCATTCAGCTCCGATTTAACATGTGGCTACACGTATAGCCGAGCTCTTGTGACCTGACAATAACTGCTTAATTTCCAATAAGAGGCTCAGCAACCATTCAGCGAAGCCTGACTGTAGAGTGTTCGCACAAACTCCATTATGTGAGACCCATTACACGGACGAAAGAAAGAAATAATCCTGGACCGGATTACTGTCTAGTTACTCCTCTCTGATCTTCATCAGGTGTTTAGTAACATAGACTGCAATAATGTTTCAGTAAACGCAACCGTTTGTTTTTCTAGGCAAGACAGCTTTATCTAAAATGTCAACAGCAGCAGTGGGAGAGTCTGGCTGCATGTTACCGACTGCTGTCCTATCAGTTATTTTCTGACAATTATGTTTTAAATTCATAATTTTCTCTATAAAATTATATAATATCCATAACAAATTCCTAAAGCCCAAGGTGAGGTCTTATTTTGTCTGACCAACAGTCAAAAATCCAAAGATATTCAGATTAAAGTCATATAAAACAGAGAGAAGCAGCAAATAATTGAAATAATTTAAGAAAATAAAACCACCCTGTACACAATTGACTTATGCAACAACTTTAAACCACTTTGGGGTTTAACTCAAAGATTACTGTGTATCTTGTAGGCTTTACATTATGCAAACACTTTCACTAAACACACCTAAACTTCTTTTTCTAAACCTTCCAGTCAGACTTGCTGGATGGTATTAACGTGGCTGAATTCGTCTCTCTCTCTCTGTCTCTCACTTTTATCCATTTCTAATTCCAACACGAGGAGCTCTCATTCAGTCCCCAGTGGAGAAAATTCCCTCACGCCGCCAGACAAGTCTCCTCAGGTGGACTCTGAGTCGGGGACTGTAAAGCTGTCACCCGCTAATTAACCTCAAAGTGTTTAGGTGACATTAATGTCTCTTTCAAACAAATCATCCCTGTGCAGTATATAACCAGGGCTGCTTTCTCAACCTCCTTTCTGATGCTTCAAATTTCAAACTAAAATCATATTTCAACACAATGGAGAGTAAAATGCAAGTTGAGTACCAGTAAACAACAGTTTGAGTGTCTGGTGCTAGAAAAGTGATACTGACTCACAGTTATGAAACATTTTGTCAACAAATGCAGTTGTTTTGCTGCAACTGGACTAATGAAGAAATGTCAGATTAAGTCTACTCACTTTATGTACAGCTGAATAATCGTTGGGTTAGGAGTTAAACGCATTATTCTAATAGAAAAAAGGCCATTAATAAGCAATTAAGTGCCAATTTCGGTTTGAAGTTGCGGCAGGTGATCTGACGTCAACACCTTTCGTCCTTGCCAACAGTTTCATCATCACGGTTTCATCACGTTACACAGAAGATGGGGGGGGGGACACATGCACAGGTAACATGGCAACTGAGTTACATCAGCCCACTACACAGGAGCTTCAGATTGTATAGCAACTGCACGTGTAGCTGTAAGACGAGTTCAACAGACAGACAATCCTGATCAAACAGTAAATAAATCAACAGTAAAATACTATTATTTACATAGATTCCTGCACTGTTCCCTAATAAAATAAGTTTTTTCAGGCCCCTGGCACAGTGGTCTGGTACTTGTTGGATGTATTCCTTAAAGAAAAAACAGTCAATTTAATCCTCGTAGATTAGACAGAAAGTACTCACATTAACCTGTTACAACAACAATCTACTGTCCACTGATCTTAACACTGTCTGTGCTCCAGCTCAGTCTTTATTTTAGGGTTGGAAAGACACACTTTATTGTAAATCTGAGTGCTGTCAGTCATAGTTTACTTCTTTAGTTAGGCAAAAAGTCATTTTTTTTAATGCTTTAATTTTGCAGCCTTGCCAGAAAATGCTATTATTTCAAATAAAGGGTTTGAGGGTAACAATTAATAAACATGTGCAGGGCCCTATGACATGTCTTGTATCTTTTGGGCTTTAGGTCAAAGTATATGATATCTTATACATGACTGCTTTATGCTGCTAAATACATTTTTTTAGCTTCTTTGGGGTGTTTGCCAAATTGCTACTGTTGAGTAAGAAAAAAAAAAAAAAAAACAAAACCTTGCTAACATCTGTAATCACTGTTTATGAACTTCCCTTGTGGGCAGCAGGAGCGTCCCCTACTACTTCCTTAAACTCTGTTTCTGTAGCCAAAACACACACACACACGCACAACCGCACAGATCATTATCATTTAAAAACTACAAACAAACGTCGCCGAGGTAAGAGAGTCATTCCATTTTCTTCTGTGTTCTTACCGATTGTAATGGCCTTAAGGTTTGACCCCAATCCCTTTACTCTCGGCCCTAATCTCACATTAACCTCGGCCTGTGAGCGAGCACGGCCTTCGGTCAACAATCACAACTCATGAATGAGCCTTAAGACGTCACCGCGTGAATGTGTAGTTTCAACACAATGTGGTTTGAAGGTTGTGCAAGTGTTGATTTTAAATAAAGATAAGAGAAGGGACCAGAATCACAGCTGAATGCAGCTATAAAAAGTTAATTTCATTATTGATTTATCTATTAAACTAATGATATGTACAAAGCCAAGTAAACTTCTCTCAGATCAAACTGTTTCTAAATTACCATCTTTGGCATTTCTGTACTGCAATTTCTTCTTACTTACTATTTACAAGTTATTGGTCATCTTGTAATCTCATAATTTAGATTTACCAGGGCTACAACCACTAGTTATGTTCATTATTGATGAATCTGTTGATACATTTCTCAATTAATTGATTCCCAGAGCCCAAGTTGACATAATTTCCATTTTACAATGATTTTTTAAAAAAACAGAGAAAGGCAGGGCATCCTCACCTTTTCGTTTGTTTAACTAAAAAGTTAATCAACTAATTCTTTTGAGCTTTACTGCAAAAACCCATCAGTGGCATGTTTGGACAATCCTGCAGTGAATCTGTGAGCGTGGACCTCATGTGGAAGCTGCAAATGATCACCAGACAGTTTAAACTGAAGCATGCAAAGTTAATGAGTCACTGTGTGTGTGTGTGTGTGTGTGTGCGTGTGTGCTATTGTGACCTCTGACCTACATCAAACCATATTTTTAATTCCTCACAAGATCAGAGCAGATGTGCACACTTCATTTAGAACTACAGTGCCGACAGCAAACAGACGCCCTCTCCGGTAACAGCTAAGCGAGCCATCTTTCCTTCATAATGCCGAGACAACCGACTGATGAAGGCGTGAATCCGCCGTGAAATAACTCAAACCGACGGTGAAAGGAGGCCGCACAGACCGGTCCGGTGGGCTGAACCGACACAAAAACAAACACCACCACCACCACACATCAAAACTAACCCCCCTCCCCTCCTCCCCTCTTTCCCAGCCTCGTCTCGTACCAGAACAAGTGGCCGCACATACTGATGACAGCGTCCCTGGCAGTGTCCAAACAAATGTTGCACTCGAAGGTGGCCCGGTCCCGCTCCCGTTCGCCCTCCCCGCTGGCGCCGCCGCCGCCGCCGCCGCCGCTCGGCCCATCGCGGTCGTTGCTGCTCTCCCTGGCCGGGAATCCTCCTCTGCTGGCCGGTCCGCCGTCACTCGAGGACCGGGGATCCGCGGCCGCCATAATATTTACTGCACAAGTAGACGGAAGGTAACGCACCCAACCCAACCCACACGGGCCTGACCCGAGCTAACGTTAGTGTCAGAGGCGACGACAAGTGTCACCAGACCGAGGCTGCTGCTGCTGCTGCGGCTATCGCTCTACCTGAATGAAGACTTCCGTTTCCGGGGAAAACAGGGACGAGGGGGCGGGGAGAATTACACCCCCCCGTTGTAATATTAATAATAATCATAATAATAATCATAATAATGGTTTAAAAAAGAAAGGACTATTTTTATTATGGTGAGTCAAAATTATGAAATACTTAAATGTCAAATCATGTTAAAATGTTTCTTCTTCTTCTTTTTTTTTTTTTAAATAATAATGGTTTAAAAATGAAGAAAGTTTTATGGTATGGTTAATCAAAATTATGAAATACTTACAAATCATGTTAAAAAACAATAATGGTTTCAAAATTAAAAATATTTATGGTACAGTGAGTCTTTTTTTAAGTTCTATGAATGCATACATTGATGCTATTTCTTATTCTTGTAATAAGAAAGCTATCAAAACATACAATCCCAATGTCAACATATTATTAGTCTATGTCTATAAGTCAACTTTGTGACTTACAAAGCCAAACTGTGGTCATAACTTATCCTACAAACTGTACTTAGTACATTTGACTTGACAATTTGGACTTATCCCTCAGTTCTAATGTAACATATAACTCATATAACTCAGGATTTTGGATCTCATCATTTCCTTTCCTTAATTTTTTCTTTTAAAATGTTCTTCCCCTGGGCTTTAATAATCAGAATCAGAATTTTGTTTATTGCCAAGCAGGTTTGTGACCTGGTGCAATTGGTGCATAAAATATACAAATACAAATATACAAATATACAAATCACACAAAAATCACACAGAAAAATAAAGTACTTTCAAAATATAAATAGATAAAGATAAGAAAGATAAGAAGAGAAAATTGTGCATATGACTCCACACAGCATATCACTAACTGACTTAATAGTGAGGATTTCAAAAATACCATATATCTTCATAAAAAAATATATATAAACATACATAAAAATACAAAAAAAGATAAATCTACTAAACATAATAATTGATATGATGAATTCTAAATAATATTGAGTATTTAATAGCGGTTATTGGCAGCTACAGCCTTTTTTGAAAGTCACCCAAAGGCGCACCGAACAAAATGAACGGTGGGACAACAGCCGGAACCTTCGTTTGTATTATGTTTCCGCCCGGAGTCATAAGAAGTAGGTACCGCAAGCGTGTTGTGTACATCAGAAGTGCCCATGCTTAGTTAACAGATAATTATTATTTTATTTTTTTTTATGAAAGACGTCCATAAAAACAAGTAAATGATCTTACCGGAAGAATCATCTTCACTTTAACGGTAACGGACATTTTAAACCGCGTCACTAACGGTTCTAACGGCTTTCGGAGGACATAAAAAAAAAAAAGGAGACTTTCACTATCAGCCACCATGAAGATCAAGCGACAGAAACAAGCCAAGAAAACCATAAGTTTCTACAAATTCAACTTCAGCTTCAGGGAACCCTTTCAGATCCTCATTGATGGAACTTTTTGTCAGGCGGCTTTGAAAAACAAGATTCAGATCAAGGAGCAAATGCCCAAATATCTGATGGGGGAGGTGCAGCTGTGCACTACAAAGTGAGTAGACTTAACTTACTGTGTGTTTCACAGGTTGAACTGTAAACATCCTGTCTGATCTCATATGGCGTTGTTTGCCTATGTTTTATGCCCAGCTGTGCGCTGAAAGAACTGGAGACTCTGGGGAAAGAGCTGTATGGAGCCAAAATCATCCTGCAGAGGTTTCAGGTGAGGAGATGTCCACATTTCAAGAGCCCTGTCCCTGCTTCAGAGTGTCTGCTGTCCATGCTGGAGGAGACAAACCCACACCATTACTTTGTGGCTACACAGGTGAATACTATGAGATCTTACACACACACACACACACACACACACACACACACACACACATCTAGAAGAAAAATGAGAAATAATATTTTAGTTACTGGAAATGACTTAAAACTAATGCAGTGTGATACAACAGTCCTATAATTGTATTTATATTGTTATTTAATATGTTTTTCTATTATTATTATATCTGCTGTGTTCTGTCTGGAGCTGCTGTAACATGTGAATGTCCCCAGTGTGGGATTGATAAAGTCATTTAAGTCAATTATCTTATCCTAAATTGTTTTGGAGAAGGGTTTATTCAACTAGTGATCAACATATTACAAACACCAGTCAGTATAATGTGATACAGTTCAACAGCACCACAAACTACAGGCTCCCTTAATGACTATACCATTGAACACAAACAGAACATTATAACCTTTATAAAGGAAGTATTTATTGCAGGGATGTTGTATTACATTATACCCTGGTATTAATGTAACCTCTTGTTCCCTTATTTGATTTAATAGGTACTTAAATACAAAGATGCACATGCTTGGTGGAACGGGAAGCAGTAAAGAAAAGTTATCTTACTGAGAATTTTAAGAACAGTGCTCACACTATTTGTGTTAATAACTGACAAAAATATATAGAAAGGTTGGTCGGATCTACTGTATGTAAAACATGGATGTAGGGAGTCTGTGTACATGTTATGCAGGGATATTTGTGTGGAAGTGAGCTCAGACAACCCTTAATATGTCTTACAAAGAAAGGTTTGGGCAAGAATTATGGTAATTACTAAATAAATATCAAGATCATATTTTCCACACAGTCTAGTAATAAATGAACCTTGGGATTGTGCTGTGTGTCTGGACCATAACTGTAAATCTACAGCTTGTGGATGTTCAATGTGTTACATCTTATAATCATGTTTTTACAGGAGTGATTTCCCACCTGGGTGGTTAAGAATAAATATTTACGGTCAAGAGAAATAATGTTCTGCTGCTCAAATTTAGCCTTTTTCTTCTGCTATATTTTTCTTGGTAGTTTTACCCCTAACACTTATTCAAATAAAACAGTCTGAGAGGTTTAGAGGAGAAAATCACCACTCATTTAGCAGGGAGCAAACAGCCACAAAAGAATGACTACCGGCATTAATCCAAGGAGAATCATTGATTTAGAGATTTGTTTTGCCGTCGGGACTGGCAGAGGGTGCTGCATGTGGAAGAGGGGATTTATCAACCTACTTAACCCCTGGACTTCCTGAAATGAAAGCCAATTAAATGTCATTTAAAGAACAGTCATATAATCATTTACAAGTCTAGGAAGAGAGGTTCCTTTGGACAAACTAAATTAGGGCCAATTGGAGTACTATTGATGTAACTATTGGAAGTGACTGACCTGTATAAATCTGGCATCCCCTCTCACAAATCTACTGGTGTATCTGTGCATTCTCCAGGACCACACAGTAACAGCCGGCCTGAAGAAGATCCCTGGAGTTCCTCTGCTCTACATCATCCTCAACACCATCGTGCTGGACAAACCCTGCAAGACGTCCCTCGACCACGTCCAGGCCGTCCAGCTGGGAGAGCTGGTCAGCCCGGCTCAGCAGCAGAGCATCCGCAGCCTGAAGGAGGAGCAGGGCATTGCCCAGAAGGATGGAGAGAGGCGGGGGAAGAAGAGGAAGAGGAAACAGAGCAATCCTAACCCTCTGAGCTGCCTGAAGAAGAAGAAGAAAGGTGTCCCGACACCGTCACTGAAGAAGACTGAGCAGGGGCAGAAGAGGAAAAGAAGTCGACACAAGAAACAAAAAGATGACATGTCTGCTCCTGTGGTTACAAATACATAGTACAGCAGGAAGACAGAGACTTGAGCCATTTTTGTTTCTCCCATAAATATTATTTGAAGATGTCAAATATATTCACGATTAATATAATTCCAAACTAAAATAATTACACTCTGCAGATTTACTTCTGGTCTGTTTTTAACAATGTTACTGCATAGAATAAACCTTTGTTTATTACACAAAATGCCATTTTTAAAAATACTTGTCATGGTATTTGTTTTATTTTGAAAAACGTAACAGTTTCCTGGACTAACAGGCATGGAATTGAAACCGTTCAGAAACATGCCGATATTGTAAAGTGAGAAGATTTGTCTTGGCTTTTATACAAAATAAAAAAAGCAGGTTTTTACAGGCACATAGTTGAACATATTAGATGCACTCAGACATTACAGTTTATATGGAAGTTGATATACAAAGAAAACCGATGCATTCAGTCTTTGCAGATGCACAAGGAAGAAGTGTCATCACAATGACTTGATTTTTTTATATATCTGCTAAATTCTGTTGCATTTTTTTGTACACTGAATTTAGTCCAAAAGACAACTTCCATAACAAATATGTCCATTCAGACTTCACTTGATCGTCTTATCAGGTCATTCTTTAGATTAAAAATCACTTATAAATAAAGAACAATTCATTCTCTTGTTATATATTACATCAATAAATGAATATGGAAAAGAGTACTTGATTTACAATGTCAGAAGTTACTGTGGAAGTGACACTAAGCACAACAACTGAAGTCTTAATTATCAAGACAATACAATACTGTATGATTCCCAGCTGTAACTAAATGATTATCTTTATTATAAAAGGGTCACTGGATGAATTGAATCTGTGTCGCATACTTAAGTCATTTTAAGAACACAATATAAACACTGCAATACATTTTGTAGTTTTCTGGGTATTTCAGGATGGAATATGCAAGAGGTTGGTAGACCACTAATGTTTACATCATCTATAAGTTGAATCTCAGAAGCAATTTTTATAAGCTGTATCCCAATTCCATAGTACATACTTATTATATGCATTATGCTTATACTAATTATTACAGTGCAATTTATGCACTTTGTATACAAGAAATCACCACACAGTAAAAATGATACAATAAATGTTGTCAGATGTTCATCAAACTGCAGCTTTTGAATGCTACAGCCAATCAGACAGCAGAAATGTAATAACTGGGTTTTGAGGTGTTTCTGGAGCTGTTTCACCAGCATCTCCTATTTCCTTTGTGCATTGTGTCGTAGAATAGTGTGAGCACATTACATACCCCTGCCTAAGATTATTATGTAGTATGAACTATAATTTTTTCAGACTCTCGTGAAGCGCAAACAGTTGATGATGCAAGCAAAGCATTTGCAAAAACAACACATTTGGAGTTTGTAATGCTTAAAGTGCTACACTACAATAGTAAAATGATTAATTGCTGGTTGAGTTTGCAGATCACTACCATAGTTATTGTAAAAATGTACTCTTTCAGAGACTGGATATAGTGCATGCTCCTTTTGGCTAAAATCTGAGTACATGAGAACCATTAGATGAGAACTTTTTCTTGCTGTAGTGGGACAGATGAATCTCAGTAACATGGTAGATTGAGGTTTCACTGTGTAAACACAGTTGTCTCCCACTGTAAACATATCTTAAAGTAGATTCCTTTTGACTTTGATGCCAGTGCAACACAACAACCTCTTAAGGAGAGTAGTGCTTGACATCTGCCTGGGGAAAAAACCCACCAGTGAGTAGACAGAAACTCCAAAAGGGAACACACAGTGCCCACTTTATTTAACTTATTTCACACTAACTTAGCTGTAAAGTGAGTCTTGATAATAAAAAATAAAATAAATAATAACAAAAAGGAAATAAGGCCATTGTTTAGAGTTGCAATCAACCTCGCTATGTGGAATTTTTCAAGAAGAGACCTCAATAAACCAACCATGTTATTCAGACCCTGTTTGCTCCCACCACTGCTTGACATTAAAATATTGCAGACAGAAGATAAAACTCACATCATACACAAAACGAAGTCAACAAACTCAAATGAATAAATAAAATGTTTGTTAAATTAACAGACAGTGCTGTGTTGCAGGGTTTTTTTCAGACTGTAAAGTTGTGTTTTCTAGATGATGTGGAAGCGAGGTCCGGGCGTAGCAATGATGTCGCTGTACGGCTCCTCCTGGACGAGCTCCACCGCCTGCTGCTTCTTCAGAACCAGGAAGCTGTAGAACTTTGCTGCTGCCTGCTTCTTGTTGTTGTTCCTGCACAGATCCAGCAGGCTGACTGACTGGGCGCCTGTTTTGGCCATCACCCTCTGTGGCAACGTGAGAGAGAGGGAGAGTCAGGAAGGTTCTGGCATTTTACTTCATTCAAAAAATATTTTGAAGTCATTCAAGTAGCAACAGGGGGGCTGTGACCTCTTTACTTTTCATTAATACTAACTACTGTATTATTGCATGCGTTGTTCCTCGCCTTCTGCTCTCACTTTAAGCAGCAGATGATAAAGACTAAAACTATAACAGTGAAAATGATGTAAAATGTCTCAATACAATATCAAATACAGAAATCAAGTGTACCTTGTACTCTTTCAGCCATATGTAGAACCACAGGAGTTCAATATCACTGACTAGACACATAAGCAAGCAGCAGCCAGCTTTTCATACATGGTAATACAGGCAAAATTCTGTCAGTACTAAAAAAAACTACGTGAGATATAAAATTACTTTACCATTCTGACCAGTATTTAAAAGGTCCTCTAACTTGTAGCAACAATCCTACCCTTCTGGTTTTTCCAATAAGATGTGAGCATACAGTTTACAAACCTGGAGGCCATGGAGCATCTGCTGGGTTCTTTTGTTCCACCTCCTCTCCTCCTGGTCCTGGTCTCCTCCCTGCGCCTCCTCCTCCTGACACAGAAAAACACAGTTACAAACGCTAATAAAGGCTACCTACTGTAAAATGATTTGTGTCCATGCTTTGTTAACTTATTCTGAATAAACAAATGAAAAAGGGTATTGTGCAAGTTTTTTTTTTTATCTCACATCTTCATCAGAGTCGTCATCGTTCTTCTTCTTGTCCTTGTCGCCAAGCAGGTCCAACTCTATCAGCTGGCTGATGTTAGTGGTTTCTTCTTGGGGCAGATCCACATTGGAAGGCTCCAGCTGCTGGGGCCCTTGCTGCTGTTGTTGCTGTTGTTGCTGGTCCAAAGCTCCCATCTAGAGAAAAAGAGGATGCAGAGATAGAAGATAGTTAGTGGAGTTGGTAGAGAGGACAGAGAGAGAGAGCAGAGAAAAGAAGAAAGTCGCGGGTATAAAAATTAAAAATAAGTCTTGGTCAAATCAGATGTGGAAAAGCTTCATGGGTGTAAGGGTGTGCATCTGCTTCAGTACATACAGAGCTTGCTACGAGGGGGGACATCTGTACTCACAGGCAGGGCTGGTTCTGTGTCCTGGGCTTTGCGTTTGAGCCCAGGTTGGGAGGATGGAGGGGGCATGACCGACTCGTCCAGCGTCGTCCGGCTGCCTTCCACAGCTGAAGTCTGCAGAACACTGGCCTCTTCCATGATGGTCTGGTCTGGAGGGGAAACAGACATACTGCACGTGTTAGAGAAACTCACATGGACAAAATGTGTATTTGTTTGTGCAATCGGAACACTGAATGTTTCAGTTCATCGTCACTGCCATTAACAATCCAAATTCAAGCACTACATGTACAATCCACACCAAAGAATAGGAAAAAAAATTAATAAAAGGAAATATCCATACTGTATATAACAACCATTTCTTACCCATGATGTCTCTCTGCTGGTGCCCTGTTGTTTCCTCTCTGGGCACCTCCGGGTTCTCCAGATCCTTAAGGAACTCATCCAGACTGTCAGCCTCTCCACCTTTCCTCCTCTTCCTAAGCTCGTCTGGTACCAGTGGAGTCAGACACCTTGTAAACATCTAGAGAGAGAGAGATGGATAAAAGAAAGAGGCCGATAGAGAAAGATACAGATAGATACAGTAGTTTCATTCTGTAATGTGTCTGAGGTTACCTTAAGCAGCCTTGCATTCCAGAGAGGCTGAGCGGGGAGAGAGAAAAGCTTCTCGACTCCTCCGGTCTCCTTCCACATCATCAGCTTCTTGGTAGGAGGTGCCAGATCCAGTGTGGTGACAATGTCAGAGTAATCAGACAGCTGCGCGCGGATGGTTTTACTGTCCAACTCCTTCACGCTGTCTACAATCAGCTTCCTCTTACGCTTCGCCTTGGTCTCCTTCACTGCACAGGCCATAGGGAGACAGAGATGGATTAGCTCAGTAAACCCAAACAGCTCTGATATTTGGAGCAAAAATGTTGTTTCAATATAAACACATTGTTCGTCTGTAGAGAAACATGTTAAATTTTGTAATTGTAAACAGTTTTAATTTATAAAAAAATCTGGTCTGGTGTTCTTGTGTATTATGTTACTGATTGGAAAAGTTACTTTTCTACTCAGGACTTAGTGAGAGTTAGTTGTCTCTTAAACCACCTGCATTACCTGTGATGTCAATAGGCTCCAGAGCAAAGGTTTCTTCTTCATTGTGAACCAGGGTGGTTTGTTCTGCCTGGTCTGCCATGGCTGGCAGGGGCTCAGTTGGGCCCGAGTCTGGACTATCTGGGGCTCCCGCTAACAACACACAATCACAGCATGTTGGATATACGTATCACGAAATGTAGTTAACTGTGTTGTTATTTCAGTTGTATATAACCAAACATATAGCAATACAACATAAAACACTTCTTTTCAGGGTCTACTGCTGAGGTTATTTGTGGAACCTGAGAGAGCGTCAAAGTCGTCGTCATCATCTCCGTGGTCCTGAGGCATCATCACACTCTCTGTGATGGCAGGAGGGTCGTCAAAGATGCCGCCTCCATCCTCGTTACTCAGCAGCTTGTCCACTACACAGAGAGATAGGGTCATTCAATTATAACAATCAAAGTAGGTCACTTAAATTAACAGTTCATATAGATGAGAGGGGGTACTCAATCAGCATCATTCACAGCATTCAAAAAGTAAATGCTAACATAGAGGTTTATAAAATAAATATATTACTAATGACAAAAGTACATAACAGTCACTGCACAATAAATGAAAGGATCCTGCTAAAACACTAAATGTGATGACAGCAACCTTCAAACACATTTTCTGTTAAAAGCCACGACAAGCTTGAGCCACTAGTTAAGAGCTGTACAGTATCACTTACAAATGTAATGAAACTGTCATTAAATCTAATCCAAACCAATCAAAATTTATGGAATATTTAAAAGCAACAACAGTTAACCAAAGTGCTACACAATGTCAAACCAGTTTTACTGTCAAAATCAGATGAAAACTGTGTATGTATGTAATGCCTATAATTAAGAATTGACAGGATCCTACCCAGCATGCCTCCCTCATTGCTCTCCATGGGGTTGTCTCCAAAATCGTCCTTGTACTGGTCATCGTACTCAAGATGGTTGGACTTGTCAGCCATCGGGTTGGTTCCACCCTCAGCCTCCAGCAGCAGGTTGGAAGCTGACGCTCCCATGATGTCCACCTCAAACGCACTCTCCTCCCGCATCATCTCTCTGTCGTCCATACCAAAGTCAGCTGCACAACAGAAATGTGTGTCTTTACAGTATACAGTGTGGAATGTGTTCAAACTGTCCTAGAGGTTTAAAATGTGACTGCCAAGCATGACATTACTGGAAAAAAAGCATGCATGCTTAGAAGGAAGATGCCTACCAAAGTCATTGTCCTGCAGCAGGTTGAGGTTTCCAACTTCCTCTCTCATGGTGATCTCCTCCACTCTGCTCTGGTTCAAGTTGAACTGCTGAGCAACGTCAATATCACTGTACAAAACACACCACACAGTCAATGATCTATCTTGTATTTACAGCACTTCTCTTGAAATGTTTTTTTTTTGTAAGCAGTAGAAAAGATGAAGTGTGCTGCTGAAATATATTTGCACTTTGATGCATACTGAATGCCTTCCAGCAGTTATTTAGTGATGATGTGCTTGTCAGTTCACCTGTCCTGTCTCTTTTAACATTTGTTAGTGATTTGATTAGAAATGACATTTCCCAGAATATAGAAATGAGTTATATGTGCCAGTGGCGAGCAAGAGCAAGAGCCATTTTAAAAAAGAGTGCATGGTTAATGGTTCCACATTACGCAGGAATATACTAGAAAAAAGACAAAGCAAGTATTGTGCCCTGGTGGTCTAGGGATTAAGGTGCCAACCATGAAGTCCTCATTGACATGACATTCCTGATATCTCCCTCCATTTTATTTCTGTCATCTCTCTACCCCTGGCTGTCTAATTGTCGTTTGCACCAAGCGGCAACCTCTGTGGCTGACAAATAAAGCCAAAGTAACAAAAGCCCCCTTATTATAATGCCCCACTTTACAGCAGAAATAAACATGTTTACAGCCTGGTACAAAAAAGTGTCACCCATACAGGGGTTCAATTTATACATAACTCACCAAATTAAATTATATTAAGGTTCACTGCAAGGTATTAGGTTATGCATAATTAAGGTCATGGCCATGTGGGTGAAGTCACAGGTGGCTGGTTTCAGCTACCAGGCTTCATTCAGCCCACCTCAGCTCCACATCTTTGCCCATTCTTGGATTTACCGGGAGCCGGCGGAGTCAGGACAGCCAAGATGGCGACGGCCAGAACCAGAAACACTGAGCTTCACAGCAGCTCTTCAGAAACCTATGGGTGATGTCACGGAGACTACGTCCATTTTTATTTATACATGGTTTGCACAGGTGTCTTTTGTACAAGTATGATTCAGTTTATGTGTATTCTCTCCCAGGCAGACCAACAGAGGACTCACTCTAGGTCTGGTAGTGGCTGATCAAAATCATGGAACTCCTCAGGCAGCGTGATCGCGTTGTAGGCTGCTTCTCTGTTCTCCTCTGGAAGATCCACAACACCTGAAAGACCACAATGTAGGAAAAGGGTCACAGCATGTGACACATCTCAAACAGCAGGGATAAACCAGTCATAGTTCATAACAACAGATGTGTGTATATATACTGTATACATTTATGTTGTAAGTATTGCATGTAGGTGTACATACATGCGTTTTCCCACATTTTCTCACGTATAAACTCAATGACAATGTTTTAATTATACTGTAGAAAATATTAAATACTTTTGGCATGTGTGCCTGTTTGTGTGTGATTAATCTGTATTGCCACAGACAAAACTGTAACACAATTGAACATTATCTTTCTCAATGCTTAAATCTCTTTACCTGGTCTAAACGCCATCTTGATCTTGATGAAGGCCTCGTTACAGTCTGCCAGCAGGTACTTGGCCTTCCTGTGGTAGATCCTCACCACCCCCAGCAGCAGATGCCCCGATGTTCGTAAAGCCATTTTCACCTATAAAATAATGATAAAAAGATAGAAAGGATCAGAGATAATACTGTAAAATAAATCTGCTACTATTATATAGTCATGACATGACCAATCAGTATGATGTGCTATCATCAAGTGTTTTCAGCATAAAATAAAAACAGTAATAGAGTACACTTCTAATAATGATATTAAGACTGCAACTAAGAGTTATTTACATGGATTAGTCAGACATATTTAGATTATTAGCAGAACCTTGTAATTATAGGATGTCCTGTCAAAGTAAAGACGATGAGAAATTACCTTGGGTGAGATGATGCTCTCCACGCTGCTCTCCAGATTGCACTCAAACACGTGTGCCTTGGTCAACTTCTTGTCCCAGTGGGCCGCCAGCCAAATTTTGGCCAGCGGCCCACGTTTGCTGAGCACGAAGTGGGCATAAAACATTGTCTCAACGCCTTCTCACCACAAGGGAAAGGGGAAAGGGGGAGGCGCAGGGCCTGGAGAGAGAGGAAACAACACAAAGGGAGAAACACAACCACGCTGTATATGATTGAAATCACAACTCTGAATAGGTAAACAAAGCATGACAGCTGAAAGGACGCATTTATTGTATTGTCTAAGCATTTGCAAGCAGACTCTTTGAAGATGCAGACATGGTTGACTCACTAAGTAAGAGTAGTTACAGCAGTTCATAGCAGGGTGCAAGCTGATGAATGAATTCATTGATTATTTAGAAGCTATTGCCGAGTATATGGCAACAGCCCCCCTGCGACTGTGGTACCATCAGGGGAAAGGTGAGAAATATGTTCAAATATATTATATTGTAATTCATTCCCCTGCATGCTGATCAGAGTAATCGCAGTCCACAGCTCTTCTGCCAACAGCGCTGGGGTTTCTACCTCTCCTCATGCGTCTGTGAAGGCAGTCAGCAGGTGTGGCGTGTGAGGCTTATTTGATCTTCTCTCTCACTGTCTCTCTCTGGATCTCTGGGTTAGCGTGTTCCTACATCCTGAAAATATGTAAATAGTTCACTTGACCTTCTCTCTCACTCTGTATCTTATCTATCTTTATGTAAATAATTTGTGTGAGCTTGTAACCATATAAAAACCACCTTTGCTCAGTGCATCTTAGTCTTTCGTACCCTCAGGTGTGCATAAACTACAAATTATGAACTTCCTTTTTAAAATACAAAAATGTAAAAATTAACGGTTACGATTTCGGTAATTAGCAATAAAAAGCAGGTAATCAATAAAGGATGATAAATCCTGTCTTCAGACACAACTGCAGGCAGCCTTGTTAGCGTGGCTGCTGTGGAACGATGTTAGGTGGTGAAAAAGTTGGTGTCTAACTCTCATTAATCCTGCTGTAAACACACATCAGCCACAGCATTATGAGCACTGACAGGTGAAGTGAATGACACTGATTATCTGGTTATCATGGCACCTGTCAGTGGGTGGGATATATTAGGCAGCAACTGAACATTTTGTCCTCAAAGCAGGAACAATGGACAGCGTGAGGATTTGAGCAACTTTGACAAGGGCCAAACTGTGATGGCTAGACGACTGGGTCAGAGCATCTCTAAAACTGCAGCTCAAGTGGTCCAAGGAAGGAAAAGTGGTGAACCAGAGACAGGGTCAAGGCTCACTGATGCATATGTGAAGCGAAGGCTGGCCCGTGTGGTCCGATCCAACAGACGAACTACTGCAGCTCAAATTACTGAAAATGTTAATGCTGGTTCTGATATAAAAGGTGTGAGCACAGGTGTTGTATATGGGGCTGCATAGCCAAGACCAGTCAGGGTGCGCAGGCGGTCATAATGTTATGGCTGATCGGTGTATGCCTGAATTTCCTGTAGAAAAGATTAAATCATTATTTTTCTTTGTTTTGATATTGGCATTATATATCGGCCACCGGCTGCCCAGCTCTCCAGATATTGGCATTAGCATGGGCCATTGACAAACCCATACTGATCGACCACTATTCTGCATCCATCTATTCAGATGTAAGCTCAGAGAACAACAAGCAGAACTTCTATGGTGGGCCAGATGAGTGAACAAAGTGACATAAAGTTATTAAACTATATGCATTATGTAGAATTTAAAAAAATATTCAATATGGGACAAAAGTTAATGTCAAGCCCTGTACTGGATGTTTGTCCTTTTACATTTTACTGTACATCCTGTGGTCCTCGATGGATAAACAGCTGCTTTGGACCCTTAAGAAACGTTAGTACCTGCGGCACTGTAATACATCTGCACTGCTACACCAAACGCAGATATTATTATACAGTTATACCTAAAAAACAAAACGAGTCAGTAACGTTACACACAGATAAAGCCATTAAAAAAAAAAAAAAAAAAAAAAAAAAAAAACAGGGCAGTTTATAACCGTTGATGTCATTCGCAGGAGGTGACCGTTACCGTTACCGTTACAGTGAACCGCATTAACCGTTGACGCTCTCCGCTGTATCCCAACAGGTGATGATGCAGTCAAGCTAACGTTAGCCACTGTCATTCAACCCCGCGAAGACAGCGACCTTTCTTCTGGACACCGACACCTTTAACGCACACAGTTTCACCTCCACATGTAACACACACACTAAAAGACTCACCGGTTAGCCGTTTGGATCTTCTGTCGTTTCGCCGGCCGTGGTGTCGCTGGTGAGGGTGGTGGCTGTTTTTTTCCCCCACCCCTTCCTCCGACTAAAACAAACAAGATGGCGTCCTCTCTCCGTCGCCCCCCTGGACGGACGGATTGGACGGTTCGGAAAGCCTCAGCAGGATGCAGAGTGGTGCTGATGTGGGGAGAGAGGGAGGAGGGATGCTGAGCTTTGCACCTGTGCACACTCATCTGTCCACCTGTGTGTCCTCAGGGGTGGAGGAGGAGGTAGTCAGATCTTCATTTCAAATCATTTCTTAGAAAAAAGTAATCATGTTTATCTCACCTGAATATTTGTTATTTGTAATCTCGTTTGTAACTCTGTTTACAAATCCTATGCAAATATACTGAACTGTAGCCTATATAGGTGTATTGTGTTTGGCCTGAACAAGCACAGCATCAGGAACAGTACTCATGTTCAGTGTTGGGCAGTAATAGTATTACAGGAATGATATCACTTTCCCCAGTAACTAATTACTAATACATTTCAGTAATTAGGTACAATATTACTTTTGTTGTCACCTCCTACTGATCTGAAATCCAATCACATCCTTGTATTCATTTTTGAAATCGTGGAAGAAAGTAGTTTTAAAGATGGAAACGCTCATATTCAACAGCTGGAAATATTCTGTTACTTCGATTTTAACAAACAAAGCTGGAAACTATTTGTCATAAGTCTGAATTCTGGGGAGAAAAGACACAATTTACCAATTTTGAGGGGAGAAGCAGAAAAGTAGTATACTGTAACTAGTATAACTAATTACTGTTGGCAGTAGAAATAGGTAAAGTAATGATATTACTTTTGAAAAGAGTAATTTGAGTAACTAGTTCAACACTGAATTGGGGGCAGCTGGACTTGGTTGAAGGTACTTTCGTCTCTCAGGGGCGGATGTAGAGAAACATATATAAGGTGGCAAGAGGGTGGCATGGAGACTTTAAGGGGTGGCAGAAATAAATGCTGATTTAATCACATACATCAATATATGCTTGGAAAATCCCCCAAATTAAGATATTTAACTAAAAAACATTACATAATTGTGGCCTTTATTCATTGAACTAAAGTCTATTAATTATTTTTACACCATCTGTCTAAATCTGCCCCTGCTTGGGTGAGAAGCAAAACATCTTCAAGTATCTTCAACCACAAGTCCAGTCCGTCCTGTATTCAACCCCCCTTTGGGTTTACTCATGTGACTCCAGAACCAGCTCAGCTGACAGAGGACTGAGCACTGCAGTCCCTCAGGCTGCTGGAGCACATCTGCTCTCACACATCACACAACTAAGAAAAAAGAAAAATCAGCTTAAAAGTTGTGCATAAACATTTTATAAACTGATTTCATTACCTTCCATTGGTGGATGAAGTATTAACTAAAAGTGTTAATACCAAACTCTAAAAAAAATCATCCCATTACAAGTAAAACTACATTGAATAATCAGTAACATGTAATTAGTATTTACAGTAAAAGTACTCAATGTGACTGATTTACTACTATATACTGTATCATTAGATTATCATTACTCATGCATTAACACTGGTTACAAATTAATTTTTTACATTTATTTTTAAATGTTTTGTGTTCAAAAAAATATATAGAAAGTAACTAGTAACTGTGTTGAATACTTAGTAGTGGAGTAAATATTTATTCCCTCTAGATTGTAGTGGAGTAGAAGTATAAAGGAAAGGAAAATACTCAAGTTAAGTACTTCAAATTTGTACTTAAGTATAGTACTTGAGGGTGTTAGAAAGCCAGTCAAAGACAGCAGTTTAGATCCACTTGGAAAGAGCCGAATGGACACAAATTGCTGTGTCTGTGTTAGTGTGTCCTATTTTCTCCCGAAAGACACAGTTTCTTTTAATGGCGCTCAAACTGCACCGGCTTTTGTCCATGGTTTCCTCTCAAGTTCCCTTTGTCTGCCTTGATAATGTCCAACTGTCCTGTTAGTAGTGAATTGACTGAATTGACTTCAAAGGCCCATTAAGAGGAGAAAAAAAACAATCAAACAATAAAACATTTTAACTTGCTCTCTCAGCCGGAGTCTCCTTTCAGTAAAAATTGTCTCCATTTGGATGAATGTCAGTACAATTAACACACAATAATACTTTATTAACTGTTTGTACATTACATGTTATAAAGCACTGCAAGACTTTTGTTGTGACATTCTGCAAACAGCTGAATGAACCAGCAGGTGGCAGCAGAGTTGGCTGAAAAGTTAAATACCATTGAACTAAAAGACAGATCCCACCATTGCTGAATTCAGATGAAAGTCAATTCCAGGTGTCCACTCTTCAGTGGGGAGAAAAAGCCTGTGGTGAATAAAAGCTAAAATATAAAGTAGTAACTTCACTTTTAATGGTCCCAAGTCTTTAAAATAAATGGTCTAAATCAGATTGATGTTTGGTTTCTGAGAACATTTTTTATTTATTGGAGGAATTTCTTTTCAAGACAATAATGATTCCCCAATGTTTAATTACTATAATACCATATTGCATTATTTTCCATTTGTGTAATTACAGTAATTTAAGTGAAACAGTGGGGCTGAAGCCTTCCAGTCCATCACTACAATTTATTTTTCATCAAATGCCCCTAGAATCTAACCTTGTGCTTCCACAAATGGAAATAAAGACGTGTTTTGTGTTTGAATCTGAAATTATACTACTTGCAAGAACCATTAAAAATATTTTCCTAAACATTGTTATAGAGCTGGGCATGGCCAAGACAACATGTAAGTGGTATCTTTCACATAAAGGGAAGGCTTTGATATGCTTTACTGTAAATGGATAGTGTCTGGTTTACCATTACATCATTGATGAAATTAAGTTAAAGACAAGAGTAAAATTAAATTTTCACGATTCTCTTTAGAATATACTACAATAATGTAGTGCTGGGAAAGAAGCATTAAGTTCTGCATAACGAGTACTTTTACTGTTGATACTTTGCTGATAATACTTCTATACTTTTACTGAAACCTACAACAAGGTGTTTTTAACTGGTTATGAAACTCAATTTAACACTGCTGCCACTATATGACCAACATAAACAAAGACCATCAGCGAGAGGATTGGCCATTTCTACACATTATTATTCTTAATGCCTGCCACCAGGTCGGATTCCTCTTGATATCAATGCAACTAGGTGGTGGAAACACTACCGCTTTTGTCCACAGGGGACGCCAGAATCAACAACAAAAAAATGAAAGTTCCTTGTTGCTGTTTTCAGTAACATTTTCATTGCAGAACTTTTACTTGTAATGGAGTATTTTTAGAATGTGGTATTTAGGCATTGGCAGCACTTTGTTAAAAACCATGGTCTGGTTTAATGCAGAACATTTCTGCAGTGACTTGAATCCTGATGTATTTATTAACAGTTAACCAAAACCACAATCTTTCCCTAAACAAAGCACTTTTTTTGCCAAAACTGAACCACACTTGGGACTCTGGATGCCAGTCCCTAACCAACTCCCTGCAACTTCTGTGTGGTACAGTCACTAAAAAAGAAAATCTCTGACCATAATCCAGACAGCAATTATATTTGCCATCCCTAAACAATAAAGCAAAGTAAAAGCAAACTTTATTTCAAGTAGACAGGGTTGTCTAGTCATACATGGGTATCCCACCACCTGATGCTCAGTGTGTGCTCAGCTTCTTTGTCCCTGTCATTGTTGTCACGTGTCGCCCTGCTTCCTTGACCTTCAAGACTGACGGCCCAATCCCTCCAGCCTCTTCTCACGCTCCACAGACCTCCGCACAAATGGAGTCATAGCTCACATCTTATGAGCTCTGACAAGTGCTCTCTCTCTCTCTCTCTCTCTCTCTCTCTCTCTCTCTCTCTCTCTCTCTCTCTCTCTCTCTCTCTGTCCAACACAACTCCTCTATCCGTCTTTACACATTGCTGTATGACCGAATTGCAAATCAAAGCCATTTATTTAATGGTCAATGTGAGGAGCAGGACTTGGCTGAGAGTTTTTTAATAGAATGTTGGATATCACAAGGTTTCCACACACACACACACACACACACACACACACACACACACACACACACACACACACACACAAGTTCACACTCTGTTTCTGTGACATAGCTATAAAAATGAGAAAAAACACTTCCTCAAAGTAAAGAATTACCTTGGGGGGAAAAAATAAAAGTGCACTTGAAAGCATTGACTGAGTGTGATGTCCCCTCCAAATGTGCCCTCTCACTTCTCACAGCCAGGGCCCATAAGTCAGGCAGGAAAATACACTAGACTCCTGTCTCATCTCTGTACAGAAGTCAGAGAAAAAACTGCTCACAGTTGCCAAAAACCATCCCACAAACCCCACAGGGAATGGACTTAACTTGGGCACAAAGGGCCTGGTTATATTTCACCGTAGGTTGGCCTTTGTGCCTCTGAATCGGCTAACACTGAGGCTGTGTCTCCCTCCTTGCCCAACCTGTCTGTCTCCTAAGCTGACAAGCAGGTCTTATTTAGGGAGAAGCACTGAAAAAGTCCACTGGGGGTTTGATGGATTTTGTGTGCGCTGTACATGCAGGCACACACACACACACACACACACACACACACCACACACACACACACACACACACACACACACACACACACACACACACACACACACACACACACACACTCACAGGTTTTACACTCTGGCACTTTGTCCAAATGAGAGCTCACTCACAACACATTTCTCACACTGGAATTGTATGGGGGCGGAATTGACTGAGAAAAAGAAAGAGAGAAAGGGGAAAGAAAAAAGGGGGGAGGGTGTGGTGGCAGTGGTTGGGGGGGTCTTTTGAGTTCTTTTTGGAGGCAACAATAGTCTTTGTCCGAGATCTTCCACCATTCTTATTAAGGTTACCAAAAAGAGGAGGAGGAGGAGGAGGAGGAGGAGGAGATGGGGCATGCACGCGGAGGGAAGTTTCTCCATAGTAACAATGACAAAACAAGCCAGTTCAACACCGGGCAGGCAAAAGGGATGACTGCAGCTGCTGAGCAGAAGCACACAGACTTCTACTGCTGAGTCCTGTTCATAAGGGAAAGGAGGAAGACCAGTACGGAGAGGATCTGTAAAGTGGACATCAAAGAAAGCAAGAGAAGATTCCTAAAGTTTAATGAGAAAAGTGAATACCAGTCATTCAAAGAAAGTGCTGGGAGGCAACACGTGAGGGGGCACACACTTATACCCTCCCAGCATGGACCGAGACAGTCACAGCGAGGATACTTTGTCCACCATGGTTCTGGAGAACATTAAAAATAAACTGATTCATGCCTTCAGGGCGACAGGAGAGTCTAGAGAAGAGTCTGGCTCCTCTGTCAGACCAGTCAGCCTCGGCAGAAGTTTCCAGGCCAATGAAGAGCTGCGGAGGGCGCAGATAGATGGAGCGATAACCTGGCTAAGGTCTGAACTGGTAAGTTGACTCACAGATTTGATATTTTCTGCATTTTCTCTATAGTTTGCAGTAGTTGCTATCAGTTGTGTCCAGAAATATTTCTGATTTATCTGTTGTTAATGTCAGTCCATTAATGTACAGTAGTAATTTATGCTTGAGTCTATGCATCTAAGTGCATACATTATAGCTTCCAACATGCTGATTCAGTTCTTTCATTGTTGTCATGCAGCTGGAGATGCGCTCACAGGACCTCCAGCTGGCTCAGACACTACTGGGGCTCAACACAGAGATCCAAAGACTGAGGAGGGAGAGCTTTGGAGGTGTGGAAGTAGAGGGGGATGATCAGCAGTAACCTGCCCCCAGTAGAGAGCCCATTCTCTGGGGAAGACTTAGAGAGAGGTGGAAAAATGCTCTTACTGGAAGCCATGGTGCAGAAGGAAATGGCTCTGATGCAACAGAAAACTCAAAAGTTCAAATGTGTGTTGCTTGTGATAATGGCTTATTGTTATACAATGTGTCATTGTAAAAAAGTTGCACGAAAAAGTAACCCAGAGGGGGAAGAAGAATTACAAAATGTGCTTGGTTTTGTGTGACGCTTGTTTAGAAATTTTGCACTTATGCAGAGTCGTGCTAAAGAAACCTGTTTGTACGTGTTTTGTTTCTTTGCTAGGTCAGGAAACAGACATTATGAATGTAAAAATTAAATAGAAAATCGTCTTTGGCACAATTTTATGTGATTTGACAAAAATAAAATGTGCACCACCAGAAATGTCATGTCTTTATTGTGCTGGCATACTGTACAACTGCAGTACAGTAACTGTTTGAAACACTGCTAGAAGTTCATATGGTTAATAAATAACTCCCTCTCAAACAACTCTATCTTATTCAGTTCACGGATAGGTTTAATACACCGACAGTCTGAACACAGTTATCTTTTTACACGTGGATTTATGTTGGTTCACTGCACTAACATAGATATCCTCATAATACTTTCTCAAAGAGATATTTAAGAATTAATGGTCACAGTCACAACCGAGGACAGGAACAAGGTCCTACTGTCACCAGAATGCTTCATCAATGCATGTTCACAATAAAGATGCAATGAACTCCAGCCTGCCTTGCTGCTGCATTGAATTATTTCTTTATGCAGTTACAGTCATAAAAGGTCAGTGAGCTTCCTGCACATACACACACAGCTTTGTGAGGATCAGGACATTCAAACCTCAACATTTGTACAAATATCAACTCAAAAATTAACCCTACAATTTGTCTACACAGAGAAGAAACAATCCTCTTGCTTTCTGACACAAACAATATTACACAAAGACAACAATGACTGCCTTTAGGTCAACATTTAATTCAGGACTTATATTATCCTCTGTCACACAATTTATACACTAAGTTAAAGGAAAAGTGTGACATTTTGGAAAAGGCTTCGTCACTTCCATGCCGAAAGTTAGATGAGAAGATTGACACCACTGTCGTATCTGTCCGTAAAATATGAAGCTACAGCCACCAGTCAGTTAGCTTAGCTTAGCATTAGCAAGCAGCTTTAGCGAGACAAAAAAATGGGGCCTAGCCTGTCTCAGTCCAAAGGCAACAGAACAGCATTTCTAAAGCTTATTAATAAACTGATTAATAAGTTTGTTTTATCTGTTAGAAAACTGAAACCAAGCTGCTCTGTTTAGTCATTATGATAGCTACTTTAAACTCTCGGATAGAAAGCCAATAAATGTATTTCCAAAACTGTCTTACAGTTCCGTTAGATTCATAGCGCTGTCATTTCAGTCATTATTATATTTACAGTCAGGTTTTTGTTACAAAAATAAAATGAACAAAGGATGAACTGGATGCTAAAGAAGTCATCAGACTGACATATAGTATCTTATGAGAGGATTTAAAGGTCCAGTGTGTAACATTTAGGAAGATATATTGGCAGGAATGGAATATAATATTCATAGGTATATTTTCATTTGTGTATAATCACCTGAAAATAAGAATCGTTTTCATTACCTTAGAATGAGATGTTTTTATCTACAAAGGGAGTGGGTCCTCTTCTACGGACGCGGCCATGTTGAACCACCACGTTTCTACAGTAGCCCAGAACAAACAAACCAAACACTGGCTCTAGATAGGGCCTTTTACATTTTTTTGCCGCCAATGTAGTTTGTCCTATACACTTAGAAGGGGAAGAGGAGAGGTTGGTTGCAATCTGATAGATGACACTTAATCCTACACACTGGTCCTTTAAATTAAAATGACTTTAGTGTCAACATATAAGCCATGACAACCACATGCTTTCTTTTTTTCTTCCCTCAACTCCACTTATACTCTTGTCTGGCTTCTTTCTGGAAAATACTACAGACAGGGAAGTGAAATTACGGTGGGAAATTGCAAATGTAGGTATATTTATTTTGCTCCACCCTGTCTTTGTTGACTGCCTTTGAGGATTTGAGGAAGTTGAGGAGAGACTACAAAAGTTTTTCTAATAGTTTTTGAATTTTCAAGGCACAGAGCTTCTCCTGCTGAACGCCCTCTTCGATAAAACCCGTGCATAAATATGTGGTGGCATCTTCAGGAAGGAAATGGAAGAGCCCACCTCCCCTGAGCTAGAGTAGGCGCTGCCGCTTCCTTGTTCACTGTCAGAGTCCCAGTAGCTGCCCTCCTCTTCCTCCTCGTCTGTCTCTTCCTCTTGCTCCTCCTCAGACAACTCCTGCTTCAGCTCCTGGATGCCGGAGTGAAGCTCCATGAGCTGCCGGATCAAAGCTTGGTCCTGGGATCTCATTTCCATCTACACACAAAAACAAACATCTGCTTAGTTCTTATTTTTATACATTTTAGTTATTGACTGATGGACAGAGAGGAAAACAGACATACTGGTCCAAATATCATACGATGAAGGAAATAAATCACCGATATGAGAACTCCCAAAGAAACTGAAAATTAACTTATAAACTAAAAACTAAAAAAAAGACTTATTGATCAAACTGAGTGGGCTCATGCTCAGCCATTTCATTTGAGCGTTGCCTTCTTTCAAATGCAAATGCATCTTTTTGCCGTGCTCTTTCTTCCTTTTTTATGAGAGGCTGTCTAATTGCCTGCATTGTAGAATAAGATATTCAGAATTCCACCAACTTAAGAGTCCAAGTTTGTCCTTAGGATCGAGGAATGTCCCAAACAAAAAACCTTCAGGGGCCGATCTGCATTTCTTTTCTCTGTTAATTATAGAACCAGGCTGAGACTGGGCTCCGGCTGAAAGATGGTGGTTTTACCGCCTTTGTCAACACTCGGAGGAACGAGAGAAGAAACGTGACCTTTTTCTTCTGTGAGGGAGCTGGAGATGTGGGCATGCTGGGCTCCACCTCCTCATGCCAAAAAACACCAGTTCTTTTCAAATAATGTGCCGGACACTGTGTGTATCTGCATCTGTCTGTGCCCCTTTTCTGTCCTGTTCCACTGACAACTATCGTGACCAAAATGTTTAAATCAAGAGGTTTTGTGTGGATAACAAAGCCATCTCAAAGAATTTCTTTCTCCGTAGGAAAACATGAACACAGCACCTTGGAATTTGATTAGAGGTGATGGCGAATTGTAGCAGCAGTTTGGTTGCATATTAAACACCAGGCAGAGAAGCTGGATCTTTCACAAAGGTTACCTCATGGTCATTGTGAAGTGGAAATAATTGGTTCATTGAGTTGAGGGTGTCTTTTGAGTGTGTCATTTAAAAATCTATAGACAGAATATTCTTACTTTCCCTATGATCAATATTTAACTAAATAGAGTACAAATTTCACAATAAAGATGATTTCATGATGTTAAATGAGGTTCAAGCTTTCAAAAACCAGCATAAATATAGTTTTTGAAAACAGAAAACTCACAGTATATTCAGTGATGTCTTGCCATGTCACCAAACAATGAAATAAAATCTGCCGTCTATCAGGCTTTACTTTACTTTGCACTTGTTTTTCCATCATGAATGTTGCCAAATCAGTTATAAAATTTGATAGAAAACATAATTTTATTAGTAGGACAGATCGACATGTCTGAATTTACACAAACTTACTACATTTTTACCCTGGATTTGATCCAATAAATTGCATTCTTTAGACATTTGAACATCTTTATATGAAAACTATTTTTGCTGATGACGATCATGTGGTATGATTAACAAAAACAGCTGTGGATCTGGAGGTGAGATTGTTTTGTCAACTGCAGTTTCCAAAGTCAAGAATTAACTTGAAAACTTTTAAGGCAGCATGCAAGTCCTTAAAGTGCTCAGTTAAATGACAATTGGAACATCTAAATATCAATTTTGACCCCATTTGCTGATTAAGATAATCGAGAACAGCTACTAAATGGAGTTGGGCTTTATCCTGGATTTTAAAGGTCTAAATGATTGTAAGCTTCTCAAAAGTGAAGCTGACAGTCACAGTAACTGATTGGAAACAATGTTTTAATCCGATCTGTGTTGAAATACAGCGAATTCTCCTCGCCCTTTAAGATGATTGTCATTCATTGCTGTTACACAAAGACTTCTTATCAAACCAACCAGTAGGCCTCTGGTTTTACGGGCTGTTTTGTCCAGCTCCGACTAAGACACGTGTTTTTTTTTTTTTCTTCTGTGTGGGCTCAGGACACTCGGTTACCATGACGAGCTGTCTGGGTGAGCGCACTAAATGGCGAGTGATATATTAGGCCATGACAATAAGCCTTACACAGAGGTGCAAACAGACACACACATACATACACACAATTGGACAACCAAACGCACACACAGCCAGACTCTTTGAATGGAGAGGATGGTTTAAAAGGGGCTGACATCGTAACAACATGACCTACATGCATCTTAGGAACAAAAAGGTAATAACTTGGGCTTCACGCACAAAAGCATTCACAGTGACCCAGGAGGTCATTTTGTTGGGGTGACAAATTACTTGACCATTAGCATTACAGCCAATAAAATGTTTTTATACTATTATTATTTCATTATTTTTGCCTGAAATATTAAATTCAACACTGAAACTTGCACTTGTGGTGGAACATCTATATAAACAACATCATTACCACAATGTACAAAATACAATGTTCCAGGTAAAATTCCTGCATTTACAATTCTACTTGAGGATAGTATTCCCAGCTAAATGTACTTAAGGCTTTTGCTGAACAGTGGCTACATGTGACAACAATGCGATAATGCTAAATGCTAAAACAGGTTAGTGCATTGACTCGTTAATGTTTGTACTCATTATACAAAATGCCCCCTTTCAGAGTGCTAAATTATGGAGCCACCAAGCTCCTGAAAATGGATATTTTTAATCATTTGTGTGCAATTATTTATTATCTTGTGCAGCCAGACTTTACAACTTTATCATTCGTATTAGTACATGGCAACCTCATAATTCCCAGAATACATAGCTTTGCATAACCTGTATAGGTATGCAGGGCCTATAACCTATAAAAATAATCATATTATATAATTGAATCACATGTTTTGTTTGTAAAATCATAGTAACTATTGACTAAAGCTGTTAAATAAATGTAGTGAAAAATATTCAACTCTGACATGTAGTGGAGTAGAAACATAAAGTAGCATAAATACTTAGAAATACACCTTAAAAGTACACTACTTGAGTCATTGACCTTGCCACTGAAAAACACAGTGAGATGGACTTCACTTAAAATATAGAAAGAAGAGTGAGACTTCATCAGAGCTCCAATCTTACCAGTTCCCTTCGCAGCCAGGCCAGTGCACTCTCTATGTCTAGTTTTCTGCCTTCCTCTCCAGCTGTGCACTCTCCGCTGAGGCAGTCACTCCTGCTCCGAGGATCCCTGCACACGCTCTGTCCTGCTGGTTTACAGTCATCAAAGGTGGAGGTCTTGCAGGAGAAGTCCCGCAGTCTGGTTAGGACCACTTCCATCATGTTAAGTCAGTGATATCCTCACTTTGTCTAACTGGGGTTCCTTCTAGACCCTCTGCTGTGTCTTGAGTTGCTCTCAGCTGTAGTGCAGATACAGCCTCGTCTGATCTCTGTCTCTTCTGTTATGAGAAGATCCCTCGCAGTTCTGACGACTTATGAGGGACTCACTCTCTCTTTCGTCCACACTCCTGCCCCCCCCCTTCTTTTTTCTACTTTCTATTCTTGCTGTCTGTCTTTCAAACATTACACCCCAGCTCCCTGGTGAACCGGCATCACTGGAGGGTGAATGTGATGGAGCACTACTGACGTCAGTGCATTGTCCAGATGCCTGACCTGGAGTTGTTTACCACTTTTTGGGCCTTTTCATCAGATGCGCACACACACACACACACACACACACACACACACACACACACACACACACACACACACACACACACACACACACCGTTAGGATGGAGAGGTGGAGAGGAGGCGGGTGGTTGCCAGGGCGAAAACAGTTGTGCATGTTTAAAATTACCAGAGCTTGGACTGATTCTGGTCTGTTGTTTTGTCTGTTGAAAGACGATGAAGAAGCACAAACACGGACACACAGCCCTACGGTGTAAGTAGAGCTCTCATGGTCTGGTGATTTGGCCCGTTGCAGGGTCAGGAGCTTAAGAACAGTGTGAACAGCCATGTGTAACTAACCCTTCTCGTGCCATTTTCCCCTCACTCTGCAGCCCCTGGCAACCCCAATGCAACATCTATTCACACACTCAACGCCTTGGCAAACCAAACACAGGCCCACTTCACAGACGGTATCGACCAAAATAGCCACCAACACATCGAAAAGCTATTTTTAGAGGCAAACTGGCTCCACTTTTAGATCTTAAGAAAAGAAAACAAGCGTCACAACTGTCAAATGACAAAAAGCTGCCTTTAAGTCTCACTCTCATGTTCTTGATGCTGCTTTCAAAGAGACGGAAGAGCACTGATGTAAGTGGTATAAGCTGTAACGTCATCAGTTGCTTTGTGAATGAGTGAATATGTGTAATTAATTGCCAATTAACTTTTTTTTAACCTATCATTCTCCATATCTATATCACCATAAATAAAATGTATGAGGGGGTTCCCATTAAATCAAAATGATGTAAAACAGAGACATTTTCACTGTATATCTTTAGTTTAAAGGGCTGCTGTGGCTCAGAGGAAGAGCCGGTCGTCCACTATTCGGAAGGTTGTTGGTTTGATCCCCGGCTCCTCCCACCACATGTTGTAGTATCCTTGAGCAAGATACTGAACCCCAAATTGCTCCCAATGCTGTGCATCGGTGTGTGAATGTGTGTGAAAGGGTGAATGTGGCACGTAGTGTAAAAGTGCTTTGAGTGGTCGGAAGACTAGAAAGGCGCTATACAAGTACAGGTCCATTTACCATTTTCAAAAACTTTTCTTCACTGCTGTGGATGGACAAAGGTGCACCAGTTAACTGGGCTGTTAGGAGGCCAAGCCAGAACCTCTAGATAGGACACAAACCAAAAACACACAGAAAGTTCTTGCATCTACACAATCAGACAAATATATAAATCATAAATAAGAACAATAGCATCATAAAAGAAAAACACAAAAATACTGTATCAGTACCCTCTTCTCACGAGTAGCACATGGTCTAGTACAAGGGACTGCCAACACTTGGTTGATGGTTGATGGTTCATTGTCGCCACCTTGTGGTAGATTCTGGTGCTTTTCTTTCAGAGCTGCAGAGATTTTCCATCTGTACAGTACATATGGACCATTCATTCTTTTACAGGATTTCCCTATAGCTTAAACTTAAATAATATAATTAGGCCTACTTAAAGTCTGCTCAACAACACTCAAGCAGACCTACTGTTTTGCAATTTTATGTATACCCACTGGTATTTCAAAATTCTTAATATTACACCTACTTTTTTTCTCTCCTCAAAAAAACCTTTTCTATTATTTTTAGAAGTTGAACTGTTGGACGGAAGGTGCCTCCTACATGACTGAAAGGTCGGTTATCAGGGCGCTGGAGGACTCATGTTTCCACACAAGTTGCATACTGGTTTCCTTGTGATGTCACAATATCCTGCCTTCAGATTCACAATGTTTTTTTAAGATCATCAAGTTTTTCATATTTAAATTTGCGAGCAGACACATTAACAAGGAGTCCAAGTAAGCTCTTTCAAAACTTAATTAGCCTTACATTCACATGGGAAGACATTTGAAGCGTGCTATTCAAAGTGAGACGAGGAAACCGGGATCTAGACACGAATGGCCATGTGATAATACTCATGCGAAGAGCGCAAGACACTCAGTTTGATTGTATAATTAAACAGTGCAGGCTGGTCAAAGGAGGGGGGCGGGTCCCGCATGAGTTTATCAGGCACGGCTGGATGGACAACAATACGCCCCGCCCGATCTTGGATCAAGGATCAAGCAGTACGCACTCAACTAACTTGTCACTTAAAGGTGATTTCATTTTTTAACTTTTTTGCCACATCCAGTGAAACGTGAAAATTGCCACTTTTATGGTCTGACTGGGGCTTCAATCACCAACCTTTACCTGAGATATTTGGTGTCTTTTTGAAGTGCTACTTTTTATATCTATTTTGGAGCCTTGTGGGTCTCCTTCTCTCTCATCACCCGGCTCTTAGCTCTGCAGGCGGCCGTGTGTTTGCACACGGTGCGCACGGTGGTAGTCACAAGGCTGTATCAGATATTTACTCGTTTGCACCCTGGCTGGTTTAATAGGATGTCCAGCGAGTGTTGAACACTTTTCCAAGAGGAGGCAACAGGAGCCGAAGAAGACCACAGCAAGAAATAGAGCTAAAGTTTGGATAAACAAAACTTAAGCTGTCTCAGAAGTACTTTTTAAACTTAAATTTCGTTTTTTTTAAAGCAGTTTTTGTTTAAGCCTGGACATTTTTTAAATTTTTTTTTTACTACTTTGAGGACTTAGTAATATAGATAATATCTGACATTCTCCAAAACATCAGTCATGTTCAAGAAGAAGGATCCAGAGAGGCTTCACCTGGTACCAGACAAGAAGAAGGCATATGCCACAGGGGGAAGGTGCAGTTTTATTTATTATCTTTTACATTTGCGCAACATAACATTTATCATTCTTGTAAATCATTATTATTTTTTTAAATCAGATATTTCTCTGTGAGTTTTAGAGACACACAAGTTACAGCCTAGAGAGTTTGTCAGATCTTAAGTAAAATAGCCAGATCCCATTGTGGCGGTTGTGCTGTGGGCAGTGTCTTTTTGCTCACGTTCCTTTATTTGTGAACCCATGGGGTTTTTCACACGGGACTGGTCTGGGGGGGAATTAGCAGTGCGCAAAAAAACCCGCATTTCAGTCAAGTCATGGTTTTTACTGCTTCCGGTCATCAGTGATGGAGACGTCATCCTCCCAGACACAGAGAGGTGTGCACAGCGGTGTGACCTAATTCTCCATTAGTTGTTATCCACCTAATTCTTTGTATAACAACAACATTATAGTAAAGTCTGTGTGACTGTTTTATGGTAGATGACCATGGTGATAATTACTTTACCCCTCTTTGTTGTCATCTTTCTGTTGAGGCTTAATCCTTGCTCCAATACTGTTATTTGTAGAAATAGATGTATTGTTACCTGTTGAGGGGGGAACAGCTGTAAGGCAGTGTGACTGTCTGCAGGTGAAGCTTTGATCATCTTCAAAGTGTGATCAGCTGATTGTAGTTGGTTGTTGTTGGTTCTGGTGGTTAATATTATGTACTGCTTTATTAGCATATCAATTATTATTATTATTATTATTATTTATTATTATTATTAGCATTTCAATTGACACTTTGGTTTAAAGCTCCTTAGTAACTTTAAAAAAAACCTTAATAGATTAATTAAAACAAACCCACTTCAAATACCTTCAAATTTTGTTCTTGAAGTCTGTTTTTGTTTTCAAATATCCATCAATTTTATTCATTTTGATGATTTGAAGAGATATGAAGTGTTACAGAATTAATACTTGTTGCCAACAAATTTGAGAAATGGATAAACTCATGTATAAAGTAAAACTTCCAAACAATTGCTTGCTCCAGGCTCTCCAATGTGAGGATTTGCTCTTTTTCCCAGTTTTTATATCATTGTAAATTGAATATCTTTGTGCTGTAGTTCGCTCAAAAGCAAGTGATCTGAATATGACGCCTTGGGCTCTGGGAACCTTTTGACCTACCCATTTAAAAGATGAACAGTTAATCAATTAAATGAAATATTACATATTAGACTGGCTAATCAGTAATGAAAATAACTTGTTGCGTCCTAAACAAATGTTAAAGAGTAAGCTGTAGGAGAATATAGGATGTCATATTCTGTACAGACTGTAAAGCCTATTGCAGCAAATGTGTAACTTATGATACACAGATATTGCTCAACTGCATGCTTTTATCTGCTGTTGCCTCGTTGCATTCACTCTGATTTTAATGTACATCCAGCGTGCCCGACCTGGAGGCATTACAGATAGATGGCACTGGTGGCATCAAGCACTGCCATGACAACAGCCATGCACAAGAGGATCGGGAGCGAGAGAAGAAAGTTGCCAGGAAGAGGTTGTATGTGGTCTCTGTCATCTGCCTGGTTTTCATGATTGGTGAAATCCTTGGTGAGTCATTCAGTTCTTCTCACCTTCTTTAATCCCTTTTTGATACTTTTTAGAGCCAATACATTTTCCGCACTGTACCGGTAAAAGATCCGATGCCTGTTTAGTCTGTAACAGCTGATAATTAGCTGTTGGCTTGACTGTTTTAAGTTAGTCAGTAATTTATTCACTCTTTATCTCACAGTTTTCTTCTCTTTGTCACCTTTCCTCCCACGCGTGACCTTTGTCTTTCTCTATCTTCCATTTTGTTGTTGTCTTCTTTCACTTCCTTTGCTCCTTCTCTCTTCCATATACTTCCCATTTTTGCCAAAATTTAGCACAGAAATGTATGATTTCTAGGTTTCTATGAATCTTTATTGCCTTTAATGGATAGTGACAGCTGTAGGAAAGAGAGGGGTTGAACACAGCAAAGGGACACAGGTTGGATTCAAACCATGGCCGCTGCAGCAAGGTCTCATCCTTGGTATATGGATAATGAATCTTAATAACATTTGTGATCACCTGATGATTTAAACTAGTGTCACCCTCAGCCTGACATTTGTGGTTTTAAAGGTCCAGTGTGTGACATTTAGGAGCATCTATTGGCAAACATGGAATATAATATTCATAGGTATGTTTTCATTAGTGTACAATTACT